ACATCCCTTTGTTGTTGGGGACACTTGCCTGCTGCTCCCTGGTGCCCAGTGATCTAGAAGAAAGGCAGGAAGTGGCTGCAGTTGCTCTCCTGGGCATTGCAGCCTGCTGGTTGTGACTGTGCGCAAGAGGACTTGCTGGTTATAGGTACATTCCAGAGACCCTAGACCTGGTCCTGCTCCCTGCACGCCCACAGGCCTGCCAGGACTGGTGGGGCCCTCCATCTAGATGCAGGGCGCAGGCAGCCCCCCGCCTACCGTGCTCCACATCCCAGCCTCCCTGTCAGCCAACAGACAGGGCCATCTCTGTGTGGGAACTGTTTCTGGGTGAGCCGGGCCTGTGTGCTCGTGGCGGCGGGGTGGTGATGGGACCCAAAGGGATATATTGAGAGGGAAGACTTTTCCTGTTTTCCCTCTGTCTTTTCTCCTTTTCTCTCTTTTTATGCTCATTTTCCCCTCTCTCATTCCCCTTCTCTTTTCCTATTTAGGCTTTTAAAAACCCCTTTCTTCGTGGCCCCTTTCTGACTGCTTCCCAGAGAGCCCTCTGTGTTCATGACCTCAGTGGAGGAAGGCTCAAGGGGCAGCTTGGTGGGGCACAAGGGGGTCCTCTGCTCTGACCTCTGGGTGTGGCCTAACTGGGGCTGCTGGTGACGTCCTTGGCCAGCAAGTCAGTGCCCGGAGAGGAGCCACAGGGCCAGAGCTGCTGTGGCCTCTCAATGGCCCCACACTCGGTGGCACTTTCCTGAGCAGTAGGAAGGCACTTATCAGGAGCGGTGACATTGAAGGCTTCTTTTAGGTCCTGTCTCCCCACCACACCAATCCCTGTGCCTCCAGCCTGGGGCCCCACCCCCTGGCCTGGCTGTGGCTGCCAGCAGGAGCCCCCCTTACCCTTGGTGCTCTGCTCCTCCAGCCTTTGAGTCCTGGCTTCTCTGGTCTAGCCAGCAGGGACCCACCTGACCGGCGGGGGTGAGACCATGTGGTCTTCCCAGAAAGCTTGCGGCAAGCGGTGTCTCCTTCCTGGAGGAGACGGGAACTAGAGCGTTTGAGGCTTGGAGGTGTGATTCCTTTAGCAGAAAGGGTTTTGCCCACTTGTTTTCATTACTGATCTCTCTCCTCTCCCATGGCACAGAGAGAAGGGGTTCAAGATTCAGTGGGTGGATGACACACACGCACTTGGCGTCTTTCCCTGCCTGGCCTCAGGTAAGGTGGCTTCCCAGTCGGCGCAGCCATTTCTCTGGTCACCTTCGAGAAGGGAAGGAGCATTGTTTTTCCTGCAGGGAGGATCACCTGTGTCCAGGGAGAAGGCTCAGCTGAGTGAGGGGCCTGGCAGGGCCCGCTCCCAGCCCGCCTCGTCTGAAAGTCCAGGGGAGCGGAGCGGGCTTGGGGCCGGGACATTCCCGCATTCTCCTGTTCGCCTTAGGACAGGGCCTTCAGCTCAGAGGTGTCAGACTCAGGTGACGTGTACACGCCCCAGGCGAAGCCCAGGGGACTTCCATCTATTAAGTGAAAACATAAGAAAGTGCTGTTCTTCTGTCAAAGCATTCAAATACTGGCAACTTTGGGTGGTTCCAACGGACCCATTCTTACTGAGTTTTCATTACAGCCTTGAGAAATAGGGCCGTGTACCTCTATTTAGCAGATGGAGACTGGGGTTCCCAGAATGCCAGTGGTCCTGTTCAAGGTCACACAGCCTCTCAGCATCAAAGCTGGGCGCCAGCCTCCAGACTGTGACCTAGAGCTCGACTCTCCCTCTTGGCCACTCCCCAGAGCTGCCCACCTTGGGGGTTACAAGGAGTAGCCCTCTGCTCCCACTGTCTTGGCTTCTCAGAACCCTGGGCTTCTGAACACCAGAGCTGGGGGAGGCCACAGCTGGTGCGGGCCCAGTCCTCAGGAGATCCTGAGGATTCAGGGTAGGCAGTCGTGTTTAGGGAGCAGAGGGACTGGGCACAGCGGGGGCTGCAATCCCAGAGAGGGAGTCGACTGAAAAGGAGGCAGCGGGGGAGGCCCGGAGGCCTCCGGTGGGCCGGGAGGAGTGAGCGCTGGGCCAGGAGTGGCTGTGGCTGCCCTCTGGGCTCTGCCGGGCCTGTGCCACGGGCAGGTCACATCCTGGCCTCTGCTTCCTCAGCTGTGAAAGGGGGGGTTGCCCCTGTAGTCCTCCCTGCGCCCACGTGCTGTGTCTCTAAGTAGCCTGAGTTCTCTATGACCCAGCACAAGTCGGGCAGTGAGGGCATGTGCCCTTGAGGGGGTCTGAGTTGGGGGAAGGGTTGAGTTTGTTTTAAGCTCCTGGGCTTTAGAAAGTGGGACCCTACCTCTCCTAATGTCGGAATCATAGCCTTACTAGGGTGGCTTATGGGCAGCCGAGGGCGGAGCATGGGAGCCAGGCTCTGCACAGATCTTCCATCTGGGAGTGCAGGTGGCCCCCGTCCAGGCCTGTGGGGCTCAGGGTGAGCAGCTGGCAGTTCCCTCTTGCCCAGCCAGGGTGATGTCAGGCAGCCCGTCCCTGAGCTTTAAGTGGGGGCACAAAGCAGCTGCATCACTTTCGGGTGACGTGTATTCCTGGGCCCCACGGGGGCCTTGCCAGGAGGAGGGGATGGCTCCCATCTGTTTTCTTTCCATAGCTGCTGAAGCCCTGGCCAAGGATTTCTCAGTGCTCAAGATCCGTCCCCTCACGCAGGGAACCAAGCAGTCAAAGCTCAAAGCCTTGCAGAGACCAAGTAAGAGAGCCAGTTGTGCCTAGATGGGAGGCTGTGCAGAGCGTTTGGGCGAGGTGGGCGGGTGGGCCTGCCCTTCCCTCTGACCTCTGCCCTTCCCTTCCCTTCCCTCCTATTCATTCCCCCTGAGCTCTCCACTTTAGGACCCCTGGGCGCAATGCCAGTGGGGGCTCCTTCCATGTCCTGAGGGCCTGGGGGTGCCTAGGGAAGGAGGCCTGTCAGAGCTGTCTGCCAGCTGCTCTGTCCCAACCTGTCCTGTTCATACCTCTTCTGGGTGTTGTTCAGGGGAAACCTCAGTCTTTTCTGTAGGGCTGTGGAAACCAAATTTTGCAGTGGGGTTAAAAGAGCTCTGGCTCCGGAGTCAGCCCTGGGTGTGGTTCTGGCTGTCACTTAAGGTGACCTGGATCAAATCACCTAATGTGTGCGAGTTGGTTTCTTTCTCTGTAAAATAAGCAGATGGTACAGAGTAGACTGGGGTGTGAATACGGGAGCCTGCCCACCTGCTGGGGTGAGTGGCACACAGGAGGGGCCAAACAAACTGGCTCCTCCCCTTTCCTCCTTCACCTCTGGAAAGCATGGTGGTGCTTTCAGAGGCCAGTTTTCTCTGGCTGTAAAGCAGTGGCCAGCAAAACTGGCCCAGTAGAGGCCTGCTGAGGCCCTCCATGCTCTGGGATCATGTGGCCTTTGTCCCAGACTTCTTAGGAACAATAGGTATCCTGTCAGGCCAAGAGCTCCAGGTATCCCATCCTGACTTGATTTCCCTCCATTAAGGGCCCTACAAATATGAGATATGATAGGATTAACCACCTCACACACCCCTTTCCTATAGAGATGGAGAAAGGGGGTGCAGAGGGGCAGGATTAGGTCACCCCCACTGGGGACATGGAGCCCCAGGCAGGGCTCCCCTCACTAGCATCTGCCATGCTGTGGGCCCAGTGGGCCTTAGAGGCTGGCTAAGGTGGCCTCCAGGGCTGCTGTGTCACTGGAAGGAGAAGCAGCCATAGTCTTGAGTCCCCGCCCCATGGGACTTTCCCTTTAGAGCTCCTGCGTCTGGTGAAGGAGAGACCGCAGACAAACACAGCAGTGGCCCGGAGGCTGGTGGCCCAGGCCCTGGGGCTCCAGCACAGAAAGAAAGAGCGGCCTGTGTCCGAGGCTCCTACCTCCCTGAGGCCCTGAGAGGCCCAGCAAGCCTGGATTGGCAGCCCCAGAGCTCAGCTGCTGTCCCAACAGCCCAGGCTTTCACGGACACCAGGACAGTCCTGCGCTAGCATTGGAGGGTCACCATGGGGCGTGGTGGGCTTTAGATTGGTCTGGTTTCACCTGCTAAGAAAAAATAAAAACTTAGTTGTTATGTGATTGCCTCAAAATGTGGTCTGCCATGAGACACTAGGGGGTGCTGTTCACTTCCCATTTTTGACCTGGGGCTGTGAAGACAGCGGTCACTCAAGCCCAGCGTGGAGGATCCCAGCTGCGCCTCGAAGGCATTTCTGCAGAGAGCCTGCCCAGTGTGGGAGGGTCGGTCGCATCTGCTGTGTGACATCTGCGCAGTCTCCCCCTAACAAGTCGGGTATCCGGTGCTGAGGACCCCTACCCTTTGGACTGATTACCCGTTGGTGTGGTCACAAAAAGGATCCTTGCAGAAATGAACATGAACCAAACCGAGAGGTGAGATCTGGAATGCCCACTGCGTCGGCCTCCCGCACAGAGGCAGGTACAAGGGCCTCGCGGAGACAAGGTCTCAGGTCAGTCGCTGTTCTTCTGGTTCGGGTAGAGTCAGCGCTGAGGGGCCACCTGGCTCTGGGAGGTCTCTTGGACCCCTCTAATTTGCTGGGCTGTAGAACACTTGTCAGGGTGGGTGCCCCGGGCGCCACCCTCCCTGCGCTGAACCCGTTCACTGACCAGGCACCGCCCTCAGCCCCCCCTCAGGCTCTGTGCCCTGAGAAGCCCCCCGAGGCAGACACTTTAAATCTAGATGCCCCATCTGGTCCTAACACGACTGCTGCACCTCCTGACAAATTTCACTAAAAAACAAGTTTAAGGGTGTAAGGTGTGAATTCTCTTCTTGTTAGTTTCTATGGTCTCCTCACACTGCTGCCCTCAGGGCAGGGGTGGCCCCTTGTGGCGTGGTGGGTATGGAAGGGGGCCCCCTGCGGCCTGCTGGGCCTGAGGGAGCTCCAGAGCCCATCCCCCCACCGGAAGTGAGCTCAGGAGCATGCGAAGCTCCCTCACTGCCTAATAAGCATGGGGACCCTGCTGCTCAGGCTGTGCAGAGGCCGAGGAAACACACACAGGTATCATGGACCTTTTATTCAAAGTTTCAAGTATGTGTAAGTGTCTGTGATGACACCTGGCATTCAGTGAATGTCCCCATCAGCCAGGACCCTGCTGATAGCGCCGCTGGGCCGGTCAGTTGCCCAGAGCTGGAGCAGTACGATGAGTCACTTACACAGGTGGGCTGGCGCTTTATTTTGAGCTATACCTTCCAAGGCCTAGATGCTCAATATTAAATGCCACTAAATCGCTTTTTGTTTCAAAGTCGTGAAAATATAATAACGGAATCTTAAAAAGTAAGAGGACTTAGGGGTGAGGGAGGGGGAGGCGCCCCAACTCTGAGCTCATCTAATCGGAGTGCACGGCAGCATATGTGACTATGATGGAGGCAGTTTGTTTAATTGGGGGAGAGGTCTGGATGTTCAAGTTGGCTGGAAACCATGTAAGAGGAGAAAGGGGATTCAGCCTGACCACCTGGGGTTGATCAGCTCACACCACCCACGTTTAACGGAGGGAGGGAATGGCCCTGAATCATCTGTGGTGAGCTGAGCAAGGTGGGGTCAGACTCGGGGCGGAGCTTGGTATGGATGGGACCAGCTGAGGATAGATGACCTGCGTGTCCCGGACAAGAAGGCTCTTGGTGCTGCTCCCACAGCCCTGCCGACAAGCCCATCCCCAGGGGCCTTCCCAGGCCTCAAACATCGGGGAGCCGCCCCCAGCAAATGGCGGGAATCCCCCTCTCCTGAGCTGGGGCGCGGCGGCGGGGGGTTGAGCTGGTGCAGACTGGGCTGGGCGAGCGGGAGTGTGGCATCGGTCAGGCTGCAGCTGTTGGGAAGACGAGCGGTGGCCCGGAGGCAGGTGACCGGGCTGCTTTACCGCGTGGAGAGCTGGTTATTTATGAGTCCACTGAAGTGTTCAAACTTTTTTTCCGTCTCTTCACTGAAGGAACCACCTGAGGGTCAGGCATCAGGGAGAGAGAGTTTGGTAAACCAGAGCCCCCCTCCACTGGGTGGCCTGCTGGGGTCCCCTCTGTGTGATGCCCCCAGGGCAGCCCTGGCTTCTGCTTCTATCTGGCCAGGCATGTGTCAGGTGCTGTGTCAAAGCGGAGCGTACACGTGGCTAAGAACAGCCGGAGCATTTCACTTTCGCTGGCACGAAGGGTGAGGGCCACAGCTTCTCCTGCAGAAGAGAGCGCTGTGCTTCCCATTTCTTCCCCAGCTTAGGTGATGCAAGGGAAAGTTTCCTTACTGGTGACCAGAAGTGAGAGGCTGACTAGCCTCTAGCTCTGACAGAGGAAGAAGATACACAGAACCCACAAACTGCTGATGCACACATTTCTGAGGTCACGTGCATCATGAGGTAGTGGCCCCAGCTCCAGCCCAGTTCTCGGCTGCCCTCTCCTTGGCCAGAGCTGGCTGTGAGAACTCGGCCTGCGTCCAGGCCTCATGTATCTACAGCACCCTCCCTGTGTGTGGAAATGGGAGGCTGGCTCTGTTCCCCGAGCTCGTTACCCAAGTTAGGAAGCCGCACTGGTTCCTGGAGAAAGCAGGATGGCTCTTGCCTGTCTCCTGGCAGGCCTGGTGAGGGCAGCCCGAGGGCCTTACCTACGTGGCAGTTGTACATCCAGATGCGGTGGCCGTCGTACCGGGTCCTGCACTTCATGATGTTGTTGGTGTAGTCTGACTCTGCGACCTCGTAGTTGGGGTTAATGACCACCTGGGGGGAGGCAGTTCAGGGGGACAGCTGAGTGCTGCCTTGGCCACCCTCCTGACCCCAGGCCCAGGGCCCTGCTCCAGATCTGGGGCGACCTCCCAGAAGGGAGCAAGGCAGGGGTTGTGCTCCAATTGCAGCCGGGGGCAGGACCAGCCAGAGATGAGGTCAGGGAGGCAGAGAAGCACAGCCTGGAGGCCTGAGACCTCCGTGCACTTCTGACTGTCTGTCTCACACACTTCTCCCCAGTTCAAAAGGGGTTACCCTCTCTTAGGGGCCCTGGGCAGCTTGAGGTTGATGGGGGCAGGACTCGGGGCCTGGCAGGGGTGGGGGGTGGGGGCACAGAACAGGCTGTGTATAGGAACTGGGGGAATCCTGGGAGCAGGACATGCTGAGACAGGTGGGGACAGAACAGGCGCTGTGGGAGGCAGGGGCAGGGGGATCCTGGGCGGGAGTCTGGGAGGTGTGACTTTGGATGTGTCCCTTCTCTCTGGGCCTTCGTATTACTCCAGGTGATCCCCAAGCACTGCTGGTCCAGGGTCCCTGTTACGCCTTCCTCTGCATGGTGCTAGCTAAGGGGGACAGTCCAAAGGAGCAGGGGTAGGAGGGAGCATCATTTTGAGGGGGCTTCTTCCGGCAGCCAGAAAGAAGAGGTTTAGGGTGAGGACCCCGGAAGGAGAGAGAAAGGGGAGGGAAAGGAGGGGAAGAGATAAAAGCTGCTTCCTGGGGCAGGGGTGAAGGTAGGGAGGTAACAAACCCAAGTTTGGAAGGGCTGTGGTCCTGGGGCAAGGGGGTGATGGGGGCAGAGGCATCCTGCCCATCAGGGCACATCTCTAGGTGTGGGGCCTCCAGGACCTTCCCTGCACAGGAGCCTTTGGTGAAGAGGTCATTCTGGGGTCCCTGTCTCTCCAGCTGAGGTGGGTAACTGTCCCACTCCAGGGAACTTAAATTCTTTGATTTCTTTTCTACTCAGCAACTTTCGCTGCCCCCTGCCCCCCAGCCCATGAACACCTCATCATGTGCCAACCAACTCCGCACTGCGCCTTGGGCAGCTCCTTGCCACGAAGGCTGCACTCCCAGGGTGCCCGCAGGAGTCCCTGCAGTGGGGCTCCCAGGGCCAGCTGGGGCGTCAGGGCCTGAAATGGGACCGGGCTCCACAATCCCATCTGTTCCTCATATTCTGTGGTTCTAAATCTCACGAGGATTTGTGGGAAGTAGTTTTAGTTGCTTAGATAAAAGATCTGCTGTGAATCCAGGAAATGGTGAGAGCAAGATAAAGGCCAGCCACGAGCCCTCTTCGGCCTCTGCGCTCAGGCCCCTCTGCTTGGAGCCCAGGCCCTGCTCGCCGGCTCTCCCACCCCGGGCAGCATCCCGGATGTCTGCACTCGGGCCCATGTGGGAACAGAGAGGCCAGTGAATACCGGGCCACGGCTGTCACGCATCTAAAGCTCTATGTCCCAAGGGAAATACTCTTTGACGCTAAGCAGAGGCACTAACCTGCCCCTAATGAGTTAATTCGCTGATTGTGTGGGATGGAGAACACAGAGGTCAAGAGAGGTGACATGGCCTGGGTCTGCCTGGCTGTAAAACAGGGGGAGTACTAATGCCCTGCCCTGGGGGATAACTCCGGCCTAGTAGACAGGGCCTGGGTGCCATCAATCTGCCTAAGCCACAGTCACTAAATAGATGGTATTTGTCAGAATACACCGATGGTACACCTTCACCCAGCAGAGTGAGTACAAAACTGACATATAAGGCACCTTACAGTGTATGTGCTCAGGGACACAGATATTTGTTTTTTTTAAATAAAGAGCACTCTGCTCTTCGGTTGGGCCTCTCCAAGTCTGAGGTTCTGGGCCTGTGGGTGGAAAAGTGCTTGACTGTCTGATTTCCAGCCTCTGAAATTGCCCAGGGAAGCTTTCAAAGCCCTTCTATGGGCCTCTCTGCAGGTGTTGGTTCGTCCCAGGGCCGTCTGCAGGGTGGGGTCCGTAGCCAGGCTCTGGGCTGGCTGAATGCCCCCTTCAGAAAGATTTCAAGGCAGAATGACACATTTCTGGTCATCCACTTTGCCACCCGACAGGACATGCTTGACAGCTAGAAGGGCGGAGATGTGGGGAAAAGGGGAGTGAGAAACAGAGTCTTTGCAGGCCTGAGCGCACACCAGGAGCACAGTACCCCGGGCTCCCCCACCACAGGACCCTGGCTGGAGCATGCAGCTGTCTGCAGGACGGCGGTAGCACTGTCCACTCTGCAGCCCTGCAGCCCCTCTTAATGAGGTCAACATTTCTGGGAGAGGCATGTCCCAACCCTTGTGAGCGAATGGCACTTTATGAGATGGCTTTCAGCCTTGACAGCACAGACCAAGCCAGGGTAAGGGCACAAGGAAAGATGGGGACGGAGGTGGGAGTGCAGCTCCCAAGGACAAAGGTGTAGGCTGCCTTAGAGCCTGTGCAACAAATTCCCGGCCTGAGGACCAAATCCAGCTGCAGATGCATTTTGATTTACAAGCACCAGGCGGCAATGGAATTGAGGAGGGAGGTCTCAGGAGGCCTGCAGTTCCTCACAGGCCTGCAGGCCACACAACCTAGGTTACCTGATGGGCTGGGATGGCATCTAGGTGCAGGACTCCTGCACTCTAGGCAGCCTGGTCTCCGTGCATGTGTTCTGTGTTTGGGCACCAATAGGGAGGAGGCTGCCTCCCTCCCGACTGGGGAAAAGGCCCCTCCTCCCATTAGTGGGGCCTGGACAGCCTTCCCGCACACCTCACCTGGAACAGGTAGTCCCCAGGGGGCACATCAGTGATGTCCACCCACTGGCAGTCGATGTCATGACGGTACATGTCCCAGCAGCCCATGGTGATGCCCTGCTCGCCGAAGTTGGCACACTCGTAATTCTTCTGGATGTCTGCAGGCAGGGACAGAAGCAAGCCCGGTCACTATGCACCCAGCCCCTAGCCTGCACCCTCCCTCCGCCCTCTGTGCCACGCTCCCCCCACAGGGCCCCAACAGCCATGCTGGGTGGTGATGTCCTCAGACCCCTCACATAGCAAGTACCTTCCTGCCCCCAAAGCTCTGCTTCCCCTGGGCTCCCCTTCCCACTGTCAGGGATTCTGACCTGCTCTCACTTCAGTGGAATCCCTCACTTGATTCTCTTACCCACATCCCTTCCCACCCTTTAGGCCCAGCCAAAGCTCCCTCCTCCATGAAGTCCTCTCTGGCCACTCGGATCCACCCTGGCCTTTTTGGGAAATCATCTTTAGCTGGGAATGAAATGCATGCTTATCTGGGGAAGCTCTACGGCTCGTGGTTGAGCTTCATGTGGGGAATATCTTGTCTCTCTCCAGAGAATCAGCACGTGGATGTGGTCTCTGGTCTGGTTCATCTCTCTGAGCCCTCCCAGGTAGCTGGTTGTCTGGCACATGGCAGGTGCTCAGAACCCATTCGCAGTGTGATTTCGTGGTGCGTCAGGAGCAGGCCACATCAGTAACTGACTAACGAACATGTTTACTGAGATTCCCCGTGTCTAGGCACCACTCTAAGCACTGAGTATACCGAGAAAATCAACGGGTCTCCCCTTGAGGGATGGCAGATGCACACACAGGTGATGACGGTGCAGGCGAGGCGGCCCGGCGGAGTGACAGAGCTGCCTCTGCCGGGGGAGCTGAGGGGATCTGGGGCCTCAGAGGGTTGCTGAGCTTGCACTTGAAGGGTAATGCCTATGGGGCATGGGCACTTGGCATTAGCACACACAGTGGGAGGGGACTGTGTGCCAGGTCTGGGCTGTACCCAGGACAATGTGGACCACGCAGTGCCTGCCAGTGTAACGGGGGAATCCAGGTGCCTTTGTAGCTAGGCCTCGCCCAGGTGCCCAGGCCCACACCATGGCCCTGGAAGGCCCTGAGCAGAGACAGGTCACTTGGAGTCAGCAGTGGCCAGGCAGCTGAGTGCAGCCTCAGGCCTGGACTCAGGACAGGTGGGAGCATTTGAGTCCTTCTGAAGCCTCCTACCCCCACACAAAGATACCTCCTTCGCATTCCGTGTCCTCCAAGCAGAAGCTGGCTTTGTGGCCCTCTGCCACCTTGGTACCGTTGAGGTTCAGGAGGTCATAGTGGGTGAACACTTCCATGCTGTGGTAGTGCCTGGGGTGAGAGAGGAGCCTGGACATCAGCCTCTGGAGCACCTGCCCCTGGGGACACCTCAAGCAGTGTGGTGAAAGGGGGGACTGGTGAAAGAGGCCTGGGTGATGGGGCGAGAGGCCAGGGAGGGTGGAAGCAGAAGCCGCCATGCAGCCGGCTCACCCCCCTGGGCCTGCATCCTTGCAGCAACTAAATGGGAATCACAGCGATGAGAGGCAGGAGGGGCCGTGGGAGTTAGTAGATAAACGGAGGCGCACAGGACCTGGCAGGTAACAAGCTCAATGAATAAGATGTTTTTTGTAAGTGATTTCATAACCCCCCTGAGCACACAGTGGCCTTACAGCCCATTCCTATTTGGTACTTTCTTTGGAAAATAAAAGTTATTCTCCTATGTCCTTTGAAAACTTTTCAAAGTGGAAAAGTGGGAGAGAGGAAAAGAGAACAGAGGGGTTGGGCACGCAGAGTAAGAGGGCAGGAGGGGTGGGAAGAGCAGGTGTTATGGGTGGCTGTGCCCTGAAGAGGACCTGCAGGTACCCCAGGACAGTGACAGCTTGCAGGAGGCTGGCCTGGGGGGCAGGTGCTCGGCCCACCCCCGCCCTCAGCTGGGAGGTGAGCAGCAGAAGTCTGTGTTCCTGTCCTTCGGCAAATAAAAAGGAGAGGGAAAGACGGCCCCCAGGCTCTGTGGGAAGGAGAGCGAGTCACTGGGGAGAGGAGTCAGGGGCATCCCCTGGGCTCCGGAAGGGGGAGACGGGGGAGAGGGCGGAGAGGGCTCGTGCCTTCTTTTCACTTGGGAGGAATTGGGAACAGATGCAGATTCTTGGAAAGTGACGTGTGTGGCTCAGAATAAACATGGGGACAAGGCTGCTAAGCGCTGCCCTAGGCCTCTGCTGGCCAGGGCCAGGCTAAGCTGCAGGCCGTGTACCACAGATGTGTGCGACTACAGGAATGTGTTCATTACAGGAACATATGGAGAATGGGGAAAACCGAAGAATGAGGTACCAAGGCTGCAGCCAGAACCACTGGCTTGGCTTCTGGGACCTGAGTTTCCTGTCCAGAAGGAGCCAGTGAGCACCTGGCCCGCTGTCAGGGTGCCTGAGGACCCGGCGGGAGGAGTCGCAGAGATCCTTGGCCCAGAGCTTGGGACGGGGGAGCGCACAGTGCCTACGGGCTCTCTCATGAGCATGCCACTCCCAGGGGGGGGAACAGGAACAGCGCCCGCTGCTGTCCCACTGTTACTCCTGGGCAGCCCTTCTGCGCCCCCGCAGCCCCTGCGCTCCGCCTCAGCTCCCTGTGTGGCACATGGGCAGCAGAGGACCGAGGGGAGAAGGGACTGATGGGATGGGCTTTCCAAGAGGAAATTAGAGGCTCCTTCCTCCTGTGTTTGCTCATGCTAAAAATAATGTCAGAAATTCCTAAACTGGGCTTTTCCCAGGTCACTCATGTTTCTGGGTAAAACGATGCTGAGCTGGGGGCCCTCTGAGAACTTTGACAAGGATGCATTTTGTAGCAGTTGAAGTGACGACTTTGAAAGAGTCTATTTAGGCTTCTTGAAGGAGCAAGATGAGACATGAGGTCTGACTCACTGCCTAGAACATGTCTGCGTCTTTCAGAGGGGCTTCTGTTACCATGTTTACCGGCCGCCAAGAGTGAGGAGAAATGGGTTTATGTTCCGTTGTCTAAACAAAACTCAGACGGAGCCCACAGGCAGGCTGTTGTGAGGCCGCCTCCTCTGCTGTTTCCTGCAGGCTTGATTTAAGGGTCTCCCCAAGTGCTGAACACACCAGGAGGGAGCAGCTGCCGTGGGCCTCCCCTCTCTGCTGGCTCCATCCTGAGCCCGTGTGCTGTACCCGTGGGACATGTGTGGACACCAGCCCCGGAGCACGTCTCCCTCCCTGCTGGCTGCTGAGGCCCAAGGGCACCCCAGGAAATGCAGAATAGAATGCCAGGAAGGCGGATGGTGAGGGCATATGCTTCCTCTTTCCAGGCTGAGGTGCTCCAACCCCTGGAAGTCTAAGAAGGGGCCTGATCGATGGGCAGAGATAGGGAACTCTGACTTGGAAAGAAATTCTAGGACTCTGAGAGAATAAGCTGACACTGGGCAGCGGTCACCATGATCTGGATAAAAGGCAGGAGGCTTGGGACTGTAAGACTCCAGCACTCAGAATTCTAAGATGTGGTACTAGTCGAAGAAATCGACTGGGTGAATATGTGGAAGACAGACAAAGCTAGTTCAGAGAAAGACAGGAGGTTTGGGGGTATTCTGTGCTATGCTAGGCTGCTGAGAGCCCAAATAAAACTTCCATCCAGAAAACCAGTACACACTGTAGAGAGGTTTCCACTCTGCACCCTTTCCCACACCAGCCGCATGGCCCCTGGTGCCTCCAAAACGGACAGAGTTGGCCAGGGCTCAGCTGCAGTGGGGATGGCGTTCCTGCCCCACTTCAGGGAGTACTGAGGGGGTGGGGGTGTTCCCATCTTAGCAGGTGTGGCCATAAAGGGCACAGGCCCTCTGCTAGCTCCAGCCTGCCCTCCCCATGGGCTAGGCAGTCTCCCAGCAGGAAAAAAGTTGCACAGATGTGCCGAGGGGCTGCAGTTGGCTCACGGAGGCTGCATCCTGTCTGCGGGGCTCTGGCCCAACAAGGGGGCTGCTCTGGGCATGGGGAAGGTGGGCCAGAGAGCATGGAAACCTCCCCTCTGTAGCAGGACCAGCCCTGACCCGGAGGCTGACCCTTTGACTGGCAGAGTTGTTCTGTGGCCCGCTTTTTCTGCACCTGTCAACGCTGTGACTCTGTGCCAGTAAGCAGGGGGGCCCGGCTCCTTAGGGCACAAGCAGCAGAGAGGGGACCTCATTAAGGTCACCAGCCAAGGGCACAATGCATAGGAAAGAGAACCACTCTGGGCATTTCCCTCCAAGTCTGGCTGACCGGGGAACTCCTAAGGGGTCAGTCTTTGTGCCATCCTAGGGCTTTTTAAGAACACCCCTCTGCTCCTCACGGTGGCATCAGTTAAATTAGGATTGATAGTTCCCCATTCACACTAATTTGACAAGGATTCTTAATTTTGACTCCACAGGTGGGCTTTAGAGTGTCTGTAAATCTGCTGAAATAGGATGTTAAACTTTCTAGAGGTAGTTTTTTTGAACAGAGGAAGGGCCAGCTTTTATCAGGAGGTTTTACAGAGCCCCAACAGAGGTTTGGGGCAGGAGTCCTGTGGAAAGGTCCTTCCACAGAGCCTAGAGGGGCTCCTGGAGCTCTGGAGGCCAAGGGGCCCTCTTACACTGCCTGGGGTCTTAAGGTCATAGGTCCTCAGGAATGGACCCAGATGGGGGTCCTGAGGGACGTACGCTTAGCCAGCTTGCTTTCCTCCAGTGCTTCGTCTCGAACCATTGGTTGGAACATCTGTAAGCAAAGAGACAAAACCAACTCCAGGGAAGGCAGGGCGCGCCAGGGTGGGGGTGTGGGGATCAGAGCCTCTGGGGCTCCAGATCAGAAGAAACACTCCCATGTCGCCATGTGTGTTCTTAGAGGATAGACCATTCCCTGGAGGGCAAGCATATGTCACACAGACTCCCACCATGTAGACTGGGTGGATTGCATATGTAGGACAGAGACACAATTATGTTCTACTTATAGACACGAAGACAGCGTCAGCCCCCACACGCCCAGGTGGCCCACCTGCGTGTTCTCAAGGGACATGAGCACTGATATAATCATTGTTTTCATTTTCCTCCTTGGCTTCCACCCTGCAGAAGATCTGTGTGCTTCTACATGAAGACAGATAATAACTGTAAAGGAAAATCAGCACCTTAAATTCTATCCTAACTTTTCTTTTGAAATGGGTTGAACAACCCCATCCCAAAATGGATTTGAATGTGACTAGGCCAGAAGTTAAGACAGGAAAAAGCAGCCAAAGACAGATTTTGCATGAAGGTTCAGCAGAGGGCATGGGAAGAGTGACCAGTTTGGGGTCAGACAGGCCTGAGTCAGGGTCCTTGCCCTGCTTCCTGTGTTATTTCAGGCATGTATGTGAACATCAAGCCTACATTTGGAGGTAAACCTCCATTTCTTACCCATGAAAATGAGTGTTCCATGTGCCTGGCACTTAGAAGGGGGTCAGTAAATGTGAGTTCTTGTGCCCCTAACACCACATTCAACTGGAAGGAGATCAGCGAGGCTGGGGCTTCTCGGACTTTGAGGCGCACACAGCCACCTGATGACCTTGTTAAAGGGCTTCTGACGTGAAGGTCTGATGCAGCTACTGCCGGCCCACAGACTTGTCCTGGAGAGGCAGCGGCCCAGCGCAGAAGCTGTTGTACAGGTGGGATTCTGAGAGCAGAGAAGGCTGTTCACCGGGCCAGAGGCCACGGGCCCACAGGGGCACTGTTCTCACGGTAAATGGCAGGGCCTCTCCGCTTCATTTTCAAAAGGGTGCTCGCTTTTGCTCCCCCCAGCTGCCCAGCTCCGGTCTCAGCAGGAGAACCTGAACACGCTGGATCGGTGTGTTCTGGGTTAGAATAAGAATTGAGGCAAAGGGGAAAAAGAAGGAAAGGCAGGGAGATGGATGGGGTGAGTTCTGTTGGCTCCAGCTAGGACTGGCTCTAGGATTTCACTCTGTTCTTGTCCAGATTTATAGCACTGGGATCAGATCCTGAGACTGAGGGCTGGCAGGGACATCAGAGGTCCCGGGTGATGTGGCCCAGCTGGCCTAACATCACGCAGCTGGTTAGAGGCACAGCTGGGTTGAGAGACCAGGTCTTGGGACTCCGGGCCTAGAACTCTTGTCACCACAACCACTGTCTTCCTAGAGATATTTCTAACATATGCTGGTATTTAAATAGATTTCTAAATGAATTCAGTGTCCAACAATCGCAGGACCTGCACACCTTGCAGAATGAAATACACTGTAGCCAGGATGTAGACACTTGACCACTGATGGGAGGTCCACAAGGGGGCCCTGAGTACTCACAACAAAGTTTGTTTCCTGACGTTAGAGGCAAGAAGGAGAAAGCACTGGGGAAGAGGTGGTGGGCCAGGCAACAGGGATCGGAGAGTAGCTTCAGTAAATGTGGAAGGCTAGTGTGGCAGACCTGACTCCCTCCAGCCTAGGAAAACCCTGCCCCCCAGGACCACGCAGCCTCTCGTCTCTGGGGGACCCTGTGATTCTGAGTCTCATCTGGGGCCTGGTGGTAATGGGAGGGAGGGCTTACCTATGGCAGTCATGCCAGATCCACGCATGGCGGCCATTCTTGGGCCGGAAGTCGGACTGGCCGTTGTTGTGGATCTGGGAGGAGAAGCGCAGGAGGCGCCGATAGCCCGTGGTGGGGTTAGTCTGGGCTGCTGAGGCCGAGAGGCAGTTCTCCTCCATGGCGCACTGCAGCATGAACATGGGCCGGTCCTCCAGGTAGGTGCTCTGCTGGACGATCTCCGCATTGAGAACCAGGTCAGGGGCAGCTGCAGAGGGCAGACGCGGTGGTCACACGAGACAAGGGATCCTCACTCCTTCCGATTCCTGGGCTGGAACAACCCCTGTCCCTGCCCAGCACTTCTGGAACTGGCTTATGGTCTCCCCTTGCAAGGTCCCTTTCCTTAAAGAACAGCCCCCAGTTCCTCTGCCCCTTCTCGGAAGGTCCTCTTGGGCATCTCTGTAGTTATCAGTAGACAGGCAAGATGCTGACAATTGTGCATTCTGGGTGATGGGTATATGAGAGCTCATTATATTATTCTCTCTACTTTGAGTGGCTTGAGATTTTCCATAATAAAAGCAAACAATAATGATGGGATTGTGCTGTTCTGAGAGACAACACTGTAAATGCCTTGGTCAGAGTCTTCCGGGAATGAATGATACAATGTATTATCCAACATGTGTTGGAGTATCCTGTGTAAATTTATAGTCTGCTAAAACTGTTTCCCTTATAATACATTTTGACTATTTCTTTGTTAATAAATATCCTTTACAACATTCATTTCTTGGCTATATAATATTTAATTCATAACCCTATCCTGTATTTTTAGATACATTGGTTGCTTGGAATTTCTCACAGTTTAAGATAAAAGCTGTGATAAACATCCTGCACTATTCTGTGTATGTAACTTTAGTGATTTCTTTAGAATATATTTCTGTAAGTGAAACTTCTGGGAGGGAGTCCTGCAATTCTCAGGCTCTGGTACATATCACCAAATCCTAACGTGTATTGCCTTTCTAACGGGCACTTCCAGTTTCCACACACTAGTGCTCTGAGTTTGGCCCCAGGTGCCTCTTTTAAAACAGAGTTGATTCACTCAATTAGCACATTGTGCATAGCATGTGCTAAAAACTATCACCAATGGCTACAATCTATGTTTACTAAACAACTGTATTAGGAGGTTTAGCTTCTTTATAAAGAATTAACTGTACATTTCCCTGTAAGAGATTCCGTCGAACATTTCTAAGTACATGTCAATCCACAAAAATGCTGCAAGTGAATTATTTACAAGATCCACCCATCTTTTATTTTCTGACAAGTTGTTTGTAAATACCTGAAGTGGGTGCTCTGTGCGCTTTGCTTCCCTTGGGTTCCCCGGAGCATGGCACATTCCCTGCCTGTTTCAGCCTCTAGAGAGCAAATCCCGCTGCAGGGATCGGGGGTGGAATGGAAGGCAGTGGAAGCAGCACACCAAGGGGATGGGGTAGGGAGTGGAAGTCGTAAATCTGAAGGCTACTGTTTGCTGAGCAATATTTCCTCTGGCTGGGCACATGCCAGGAGGCAGCACTGTGGGCACTGAGTGTTCTGGGTACACCTTTATTGGGGGGTGTCATGAGTCTCTCAGCCATTGTCTGTATGAGGTGACAGCCCCCCCTTCTTACCTCTGAGCTGACCAAGGGGGTCTCCATCAGGTCCTCCTCTTTCTGAGAGGAGGCAGCCCTACCTCCAGCTCAGAAATCAACATAACGTGGGCTGCACTCAGCTGGTCGCCTGGGAGCTACATCCTTGGCACCTGCCATGCAATGAGGCCTTGGCCTCCCTAACATCCAGGACACCTACCAGAATTCACCTGGGGCCTGCATTCACCCCGCCATCCACTGTGCCTTATGATTGCTGTACTAGCTCTCTGGACAGTGCTAAGCAAGGCAGAGCTGTACAGCCAGCACAGCAGTACCTGCCAGGCCCGAGGTGTGCGGGACCAAAGCCTGTGTGGTCACGACACTGCGGAGGAGTGGGCGTGGGCCGCACGGGCCTTGTGCAAGGCCCTGCAGTCACTGACATGCTGCAGGCAGCTTGGAAGAGGCTGAGAAGGAGGGAGGGGTGAGTGGGAGACCAGCGTTGACTTGGCTCCAGGGAGGGGCGCATGTGGTTGTGGGGGTCCCAGCGAGGAGCCCGTATGGTGACACAGTAGGAAATGTCATCTGCGGTGACAGTGAGCAGAAGGAGGTAGAGGGAACTAAGAAAACATGGAAAGGTAAAAACTGAAATAGACTGAACATGGAGGGGTGAGGAGAAAAGAGAGATGAAGGAGGATGCGCAGACTGAGGGTGTAACGGGCTGGCTGAGAAACGGCCATCACGAAGGGCTGCCTGAAGGAGATGGCTTCTCTCTCTGAGCACTCTGACCCCCGTTAAGCCAGATCAGCCGGGAGCTGTGTTGCTGGCCCAAACAGCTCTCACCTCTCCTGCAGACATGCTCTGAGTGATGCCTTCAGTCTAACCGGAGGGGTTCTCTGAGCAGTAGCCCCATGAAACTCCCTTTTGGGCTGCCATATGGGATGTGGTGACTTCCACCCTCATAATGGGAAATCCCCTTTGACCTCAGTGCCTAGAGCAGTGGGCTTCTCTTGGCACCTGGGTTTGTTTCTATTTCATAAATACAAATGACCAGGTTTCCCTCTTTCCTTTGCTGCCAGGAAGCTCAGGGTGAAATTTATAATCACCCCATAGTAAATGCATAGGCTCTATAGTATATAATTTTTATTAACCTTCCTCTTGGTTCCATTTTGAGCCGCTACGCTACATTTTTCCAACACCCACTTTTCGTTCATCTGCTTTTATCTCATGGTACCTTGAATTCTGTTTGTATTATCTTCATTTCCCCTTGAGAAAGATGGTATATTACAAATATAAATAAACTAATAGGCAAAGAGATGGTCCCTGACTGCTTCTCTCTGTTTGAATGCGCTTCCCTTGGGGGGCTGGTAAGGTCGTGTTCCCCCGTCTCAGGCAGGGTGCAGTAGCTTAGGACAGCTGCCCAGAGAGACTCACACTGGAGTGGAGGCTGCCTTACACGGGTTCATGGGAGGATCAAACTGACTGAGCTCAGGTTTCATCTTCTCCCTTGTGCTCCTTGATGGTAAATGACAGCGCATCCCTGTTGATTAAGCACTTGCATATATTCATCATCACATTCAATTCCGGTTTCTAGGAAAATCAACAACTGTAGATCCTAGTGGTTAACTAACTTTGCCAAGATCAGCCAGTAAGTGGCAGGTGGGTCTGGTCTCAAGTTCTCCAGCCAGATCCTGGGCCTGTCCCACCTCCTGGACTCACGAGGGAGAAGGCTGTGTGGTTTTACAAGGCCAGGGGTGGGGCCCAGCAGGCCCACAAGGCTGTCTGCCAGTCCTCTCTCTCGGTGGGAGCTGGGTCATTCTAAATCCTGGCGGGGGTTTCCTCTTCCATATTCTCAATTTTTCTAGGACTCCCAGGGAGTCACCAGGAAGCTAAATGGCCCCCAGGGTGTGAAAGCAGGAAAGGAGCAGGACAGAAGGAAGCAGGCTGACACTGATGCATGCAGGCACCCGGCATGTGCCTCATGTTTCACTAACCTCAGAAACCTCCTCTGAGGAAGGCGTTATCTTCCTCATCAACAGGTACAAACATCAGTTCTCAGTTACATGCTTCACCCAAGGTCACTTAGAGATTTGAGTCCCTGGCTCCCAGGCTCCCAAGTCCCTCCCTCCTGCTTTCCCTTCCACTCCATCACCGGGCAGTGCTCCAGGTCGCAGGTGGAGGAGGGAGTTCCTCCTGTCCTCACTCTAACCACTTAACAAAAATTCATCTCTGCTTCCTCTCTTGGCTGGCTCACGGAAGAGGCCCCAGAACCTCGCCAGGAATAGCCACTGAGACGTCAATAACCTGCTTCCAGGAACAGCCTGGAGCCTGGCAGGGAGGGTGGGAGGATGGGATGTGACCCCCAGGAACTCTCACTTTCTGAGCAGGCGACTCCGGCCCCGTACTGCACCGCGCCCTGGGGACAGGCCACGTCCTCCCCGTCGTGCCGGCAGTGTGCCAGGGACAGCTCCGTTCCCGAGCACTTCACGCCACTCAAGACCACTTTGTTGGTGAAGATGTTCCCATGCCAATACCAGGTCTCCTGGATGAATCAATGAAAGAAATGGCCAGTATGTCACCTTGAATTGCCACTTTATTGTATTCTATCAACTCTCAGCATCACAAAAATTCCAAGGCTTTATGATCCCATTTTTCAGATGGAGACAGCTGAGGCACAAAGTCACTTACCCAATTCATGCCATTTGTCGGTGGCAGAGTTAATGATGTTTGGATTCTGCTACTCTCCCCCTGGGGAAAGCATAGCTGAGATTTTGGTCATATAACTGTTCAGTGTTGTGTGTCAGGAATAGCAGGTCCTTGCAACTGATAAACTATGCACTCCTTCACCCTGAGCCCAGGGCAGACATTACTAATCAATCACAGCACCCTTTAAGATTGATAGGCTCTCAGAACCCTTCTCAACACAGCAGACCAGGAAGGCACTACCAGTTGATCAGAATCAGCAGGAGAGAAGAAATCTATGCACATATGTTCAACAATTTGATATTCATGCATCCTTCTGGTTCTGTTTCTCTGGAGAACCTGACTTTCCATCCCCTCTTCCTCTTGAGAGAGAACTGGGTCGTAGAGAAGGGACAGGGCTTGTAATCAGTGGCAGACCTGGGACTGGGGTGATGTCAGGCCCACACCCATTTCAGAACCTCAGCCAAGGCCTAGATGTCTTAGGAGTGAGCTGACAGGGGACAGATAGTACTATTCTGCCAGTAAGCACTGTTTCTCCACTCTCCTTGGAGAGCTAGAGAGTGCCTGCTTGTCATAAGCAGTATAAGCAGAGACACTACATGGCCCTGGGAAGCCTGGTTCCCAGAGGGCATGGGCAGCAGAATCAGGGGCCTGTCCCTCCTGGATGCCTGGATGCTGGTATGAGGAGCCCCAGAGCAGCATCTGCTCAGGACCCAGCACCTGCGCTGGACCTGGCCCGCCTGCAGTAGGCAGTCAGGCTTGGGGAGGCTGCCAGAGTTGTCTCGTGTCTCTCCCTAAGAAACCCCCACCCCAAGCAGGGCCACCCGGGCATAGGAGCTGAGTCAGGGTTGGTAGAGCATGACGCGGGGCTCCAGCCGTTTTCCTATTCTGTGAGAAGCTTAAGTAAAGTGTTTAGAGCCCAGATTCCGAGGACCTGGGACTATACGCAGGGAGGGAAACTGAGGCACGAGATGGTGGCTGCTTTGCCCCAGATCATTATGCAGCAGGCTGGTGGGGGTACAGCCAGGGGCAGACCCTGGGCCTCCTCTCTCCTGCTCCTCCTCCCAAGCCTCTTTTTGACAAGGTGCCCTCACAGATTAGGGTTCAAAGGGAGGAGATTTGGGAAGCCAAAGTGCTTTCTTGTCTTTCCTCTGCGGCCTTTCGGTGGGGGCAGGAGCTGTGCTGCGTGTCTCTGAGGAAGGGAGGCAGGTGCAACTGATGCGACAAGGGCCCGGGATGAGGCATGGCAGTGAGGAGGTTCTGGGGAGAGGAGGCGTGGGAATGGACACCAGCCGGGCAGCCAGCCAGAGCGCACCGAGGGAGTGAGCTAAGGTGGCTGGTGTTGAGCCTTGGGCGGGGAGGACACCACTGACCCGGGAGACTGCGTGGCTTCCCTCTGTATGAACACACTGGGATGCTCTGGGGCCAGCCCTGGGGCCAGCTGCCGTGAATCCCAGCATGCAGAGCTGAGAGGACCCTGGAAAGCGAGTCCAGCTCTTACTCTGTCATGGGACACAAGCCAGAGGGGGCATGACCTGCCCGAGGCCTCAGGGCTGGGAAGAGCAGACTGAGACCAGGACGGTGTCTGCCTCCCTGGCCAGGGCCTCTCACTCCACACCTCTGGGAAGCTGGGGAAGCTCATGAGAGAAGGGGCTGACTGGAGATGGACGGGATCAGACTGGATGAAGGGCCCTGAGGCCAGACCTCTCACCTGGAAGGCGTTGCTGGCGAACCCCAGGCCCAGCTGCCGGCAGACCACCATGGCCTCCACAATGCCCCAGTTCTCGCCACACACGGTCCCCCACACGAGGGACCCGTTCCTCTCCACCAGCACCTCCACCCGGCCCTCGTAGGGGTTTCGGCCCCCGTTCAGGCGCAGCTGTGGACAGAAAGGAGGGCATGGTCACCAGGAGGGCATGGAGGGAAGCTGCCACACCATATTGCCATCCGTCCCCGTTCCCCAGGCCAGGGGGTCCTGCCTGCTCACAGTCAGCTTCAACAGCATGGCAAGAGCCTACAGTGTGCCGGCATTGTGCCCCATGGCCTCACGTGTTCGGGCCCCACCCACAGGCATCCTGGGCCCCAGAAGCCTATGCTTCTGACCCCTACTGACCCCACTGTTGCCCTAACAGAATCTGCCTCTGCCCCCTGATGACCCCAGGAGGCTACCAGCAGGGCTGCTCTTAGAGTCAGACGCTTGGGAAGAGGTGTCAAGGGGCCTTAAAATGTCAGAATTTCTCAAGGTTCTTTCCTGGGACCCTTTCTCCTCCTAGACCCTCTGCTCAGCTGGTTCTAGCTCCTGATCTCATCTCCTCCCTGGGCCCCCAGGCCCCACCCCACAATGTCCTCTCCACCTAGAAGTCTCTTCTGAGACTCTGAGCACCAACTGCCTATTTGACAGTTCCACTTGGTACCGTGGAGACCCCAAACTGAAACCTGTCATCCTTTCTTTCTCCACCTAGCCTGTGCTCTGTCTCCACCTGTTCCCTGTCTCAGCTGGAGGCACTGCCATCTATTCCAGGGGCAGCAAACTTCTCTAAAGGACCAGGTGTTAAATATTTCAGGCTTCTTGGGCCATATGCACTCTGCGGTGACCATTCAGCCCTGCTGTCCAGCGTCAAAACCGTGGACGATGTGTGTGACTGTGCATGGCTGTATTCCAATAAAACTATTCTTAAGGAAAGGGCAGAAGGGTGGGTTTGGCCTGCGTGCAGTCTGCCAATCCTGAATCTATTCCGTTACAGGAGCCAGAAAGCTAGGAGCCATCCGGGACATGGCACTCTGTCTGTCCCCCAACATCCCATCAAAATCTGCAGATTTTCTCTTGGAGTCTCTCCAGTCCACCTGCCTTCCTCCAGCTCCATTCCTACCCCTTCTCCCAGGCACCAGCACCTCTCGCCTTCACTGACCCATTCTCTACTAAGAGGCAAGAGTCATCTTTGGAAAACACGTCACCTGTCACCACTCCTTAGAACCCTTGGCTTCCCCTTGCTCTGCCCATCCCCTCTCCAGCCTTACTGCACGTCTTTCTCATCCTTGGTGTCCCACCTCTCGGCACATGGGCCTTTGCTCAGTTTCCATGACTACTAGCTTTTAGGACCATGTCACCCATAAGCCACACATCTCCCATCAAAGCCCACTGGTGCCCTTTGGCCTGCCTGATCCGGGTCCATCTTCCTAATTCCACGCGCAATAACACTTCCCTCCCATTGGAGTCGGTGCCTACATAGACACTCCATTGTTCCCTAGATGTCTCTTTTTTAGCATTTATGACAATTATAATTAAGCTAATTTAACAATCTGTTGCACACCTGTCTCCTTTACTGGAATATAAGCTCCCAGGCAGAGGTGCGTTGGTGTGGTTTCCTGTGTGATTAATATCTAAGATACCACCTCACAAATGTTAGGTACTGCCCACCATTTTTGGAATGAATGAATGCATGGTTAGTCTTACAGAATAAAAGCATGGGACAACTTATCTGAGCTCAAATGGGGAGATCTGGAGTTTGGGGAAGGTTTCTGAAAATGCATCCCTTAATCCAAACACCTCACCCTCCTCCCTTCACATGCCTAGCAATTCATTCCTTTGGGATAAGGGAAGACACCTTTGGGAATCCTCAGCACACTAGGCCGTTTAGGCCTTAGCAGCAGCACAAACTACGGACTTAGGGGCTGGAAGAGTCAGTGAGGTCAACCAGCAAACACTCAAGCCAAGGGCAGCCAAGATACAGTGTCCATCTCTCTGGGCCTGGTGTTCTGAGGCATTCAGTTCACTGGGGGCACACTGACCCCTGAGGCTTAGGACACTCACTAAGGCATGTAATTTAGTGCCTCGTGAAACCACCTCAGATGGCCTCTGAGCAAGAAGCTGTCTGCCAGCCCCAAGTCACACCCCCTCCTCACTCTCCTGGTCCCCGGAGTTTCCAGGCTCCTGGCTCAAAGCCTGAGGACACTGACCAAGCAGATAGCAAGCAGGAGCTGTGACAGAGACTGCAGGCCTTGCACCCGGGCCTCAGGGTGATCCTGCTAACACCCTGAGCCCTGACTTGGGGAGCGTGAAGTAAGCTTCCCTTCTCTGGGGGGTCCAGATCCTCTCCCCTTCCCCTGGGCATAGACTCCTGGCTCCCACTACCAAGCCTCTCAGAGCTGAAGGTGGGCACAGGAGGTGCACCCTGGGAAGGTGGAGGCCAAGGCATGAAGAGCAGCAGTTTAATCGAGTTTATTATTGTTTCTGAGTTCCCATGGACTGCACCCTGCCTCGCTGACTGCCCTGGGCACAGAGGGATCCCCCCCCCCCCCCCCCCCCAAGCTGTGGCCTCCCCAAGCACTTCATTTGGTCGCCCGTAGGTCAGTGAAGGTGGGGCTGAAGGCAGCCCCATTTACACTCTTTCCTGCTACCTAGGGCTGTGGGGCTCCCCAGTGTAAGACTCCATGTGAAGGCTTCTAACTCTAGCGCTTCCTTTGGGAGGGTGCAGGACCCTCTCCCTTGCCCACCTCTGCCTATGCAGCCCTCCCCAGAGCTGAGTGGCCATGTGGCAGTGTCCCTGTCCTACCTTCTGAAGCCCAGGGAAGTCTCAGAGGCTCTGGCTGAGGAGCGTGGAGCACGCTGACCCTGTGACGGCAGGTAGCAAGCTGGGGCCTCTCCCAGAAACACTTCTGGAAGCTCCAAGCACCTGCTGTGGCTCTCCAAGGCCGGGCAGGCCTGGAACAGCCTGTGCCGGGGGCTACGGGCTGCACTGCTCTAAAGGAATCTAGGCACTTCAAGATGCACCGTAGCCTTTTCCTGTTTTCTAGAGAAGACGAGGGTGCAAGAGAGGCCCGCCATGAAGTTCTAACATAGGCCAGGACACGGTTCCCATTCGCAGGGGCCCCTCCTGGGCACCTGGAAATTGCCTGGCTGGTCAGCTGAAGGTGCTCTGACATCACTAGCATCCAGGGAAGCCCAATAGGCCTTGGCGGAGCCAGGAGCCTCTGGCCCTCACCCTCTCCACCTCATCACCCAGTGCGGATGCCAGGGGAGGTCGTCCTGCTGAAATTTTCTTAAAACAACCCAGGCATTTCCTTCTTCCTTTTCCTTTGGTTCTTGATGGCAGCAATATGGGGTCCGGAAGAGGCAGTGATGTGCAGGCAGCTAAATTCTTCTGAGCATGAATGGGAAGCAAAGTTCCTCTAGCTCATTGGAGGGCTGCACTTTGTTTTGATAAAGTGGTTGGCCTGTCCCACACCTGTTTTTGGAGATGAGGGGACAGGAAGCGAGCTGCACAACCCAGGCACTTTCCAACATACATTCCACACATGGCCTTGGTCCTGTTGCCAGGCCAGGCCAGACCCTCAGTTCAGAGGTGAGCTGGGGGCCGGCAAGGGGGCTCAAGCCCCTGGGAAGGTTTGCTGACCTGGGAAACCCACCTTCCATCCCCTTGGCCCCTTGTCTTGGCACCTCTCCCCCAGTGAAAGACATGAGCTTTGCTGGGCCTGGGCAGACTGACCACCCAGTCCGAGCCTGAGGCCTTCCCGCCACTTAACAGAGAAGTCTGTTTCCAGGTGAGCCTGCGATGGGGGTGGAAGGGAAACTAGGAACCATCTCTCTCAGCTCCTTATTTTCAGAGGAGGAGACAGAAGTCTCGAAGAGATTAATTAAGGACTCAGTGAGCTGTTGTCATGAGCTGGGGCATGGCAGAATTTTCACCAGTCTGAGACTGTACTTCAGAAGGTCCTTAAGGTTCAATGAGGCCTAAGGGTCAACCCTGAGCCAACAGGACTGCGGTCTGTGTAAGGAGAGAGAGGGGCACCAGGGAAGTGTGCACAGAAGGTAGGCCACGTGAGGGCACGGGGAGGAAGCACCCCTCCAGCATTGATCTTGGACTCCTAGCACCCCAAACTGTGAGAAAGTCTGTGTCATTTTGTTAGGGCGGCCCGAGCAGACTGACAGAGTGACAAAACTTGGGACTGTTCTGTCCAGTGCTGTTGCCAGCACCCTTGGGAGCCCCGAGCCAGGCCACGTGGAAGCCTGGCCCACTGCAGTGGTGAGGCGGGGGCAGCCCCAGGAGGTTCTTTTACAGGAACGCTCCCCAATCCCCCCAGGGCCGGCCAGCGGGAGCCCTGGGTGTTAGGGCTCTGCCGCGCGGATGCCTGCGCTGGGGGTCAGCCCTGGGAGTCTGCAGGGCCCCTGGAAGGCTGAGGGCTGTCTGTGCTGGGGGCATGGTGCCTCGCTCGGCATCCCCAGGCACACGGCCTGGCCCAGCTCTACTGATAAAACACTTGAGGAAGATTTCACTATGTCTGGCTGAGGTCTTTCATTTGGGTTGAAAACCCCATTCCACCTGACTCCAATCTGCCTGGAGTGAATGGTGCCTGGGACCACCCTGGGACTCACGCGCGTCACCTTTTACAGCTCTTCTATGGCTAGCTGGGGACGCTGCTGGGCAACCAGAGATGGCGAGCCTTCCCCGCACCCGCAGGGCCCCTCTCCCTGCTCACCCACAGCAAATGCACAGCTTGGCTGTGCACTGCTGGGCTCACATCTGTGGCCTGTTGGGCAGTAACTGCACGAGACGTGTTGTGGCTGAGCAGCTCAGTAGTGCCTTTGGCCAGCGTGTCAAGGTCAAGAACTGCTGTCAGAGCAGGAGTCTGACTGGGGAACTCATTCTGATGTATCCACATTGGCTCATTTTTAAATAAGCACTCAAGCTCTTCCAGTGTGCCAGCCCTGGGTCAGATGGTGCACATGACGTGAGCAAATCCATGGTGGGCTGGGGAGCAACAACTAGGGTGTACTGGCCCTTCTGTAGGACTGGCTAGGCCTCCCAGCAGAGGAATTCATCCTGTTGGTTTGCCCACCCAAGCAGGATACACAGTGTAGGTTTTAGAGAGCCCATCCCAGGGAGGGGAGGGTGTGTTTATGGTGCAAAGCTATTAAGGTGCCCTGTTCTTTTCCTCTGGTTACCAAAATACAGTCTTCTGTCCCCAAATCCTGTGTGTACTGTGCTTACACCTGTGTGACTTAGAGCTGTCAGTGTGGTTCCTCTGGGCCCCCGGGAAGGGCCCAGACCAAGGGCATCATGGGGGCTATTGCCCTTGAGTCCCTTACAGGAAGGACAGAGCTGCAGTCACACCACAGGAAGGGTGAGGCACCAAGCGGAGGCCAATGTCTGCCACTAAGGACGATGGTGCTCATACATATGGGTTCTCGTCTGGCACATTTAATGACTGCTAGGTGACAATGCCATCAATAGTGACAGCAGAGCTGGAGCCCCCTCAGAGCTTATCATCAGAGCACCGTAATACCACCTGTTCGGAACCTTCAGTGGGAGGCCCCCTGGTCCACACTTTCTGGGGTCTCTGTGACCAACATAGAACACAGTCCCCTCGAGGTGGCCAGCCTGCTCACCTTTTTCTGGAAGCCCATGGCAGGGATGTTACACCTCACACCAGCATCTTCCTCGTGGTTGCAGCCCTGAGACTCGGCATTGAATTTGCAGTCTATGAGGGACTTCTCATTCCCGGCGCACTCAATTTCGTTGAGGTGGATGGGTCCTATCCCTGGGGAAGGAACGTTAACATGCACTATGAAAGCTTCTGAAGGAAAGTTTTTACAATGTGCAAGAAAGTGCCAGACAACAAGAACATGCCTCTCCTATTTGCAAAACTCTCCTAACTGCCTCCCATAACCAGCTCAACAACCCAGGGCTCTTCTCCGGAAGAGAGTTTACTTCTCCGTAAGAGCTTAGAAAATTTGCTGCTAAACTGTTATGTGACCTCGGCCAACTAACTTGGCCTCTCTCAGTATTGGTTTTCTTACTTAAATAAAGAAATCAGACTAGAAGACATCTAGGCTCCCTTCCCATGCATTTATGAATCTGAAAGGGTGGCTATTGGTGTATAGGCAGGGCCCTTGCAGGAAACGGATGCCACATTCAATCTGGGCGATTGGAAAAGAGTTAGTAAAAGGGATTTTTAAAATAAAGGCATGAACAGAGTGTCAGAAAATTATAAAATCACAAAGGACAGTCCAGTAAGGCCGGGGCTAACAGCAGCGGGGGAGATACCCCCGGGCCCGCAGGAGTAAAGGGAGGGCGCCAATGTGTGGCCCACGAAAGCAAAAGGGCTGTGGAGGGGCTGCCTGAGAACAGCTCTTACCCTTGCAGGAGGGACAGGAACCTCAGGGACCCCGCAGGGAGATCACAGACCTGGGCTCTTCTCTGTCTCTGCCTCCAGTCTCCCGGCACCAGGCTCCCAGCTAGCCCAACCCAGGCACGCCTCCAGGGGCGAGGGACAACGTGAGCAGCAGGAGTGGCTGGGAAGCGGGTGGCAGACACCCCACCGGTGACCTCTGGGGGGCATGCAGGGAGACCATTCTCACAGACACCGGGAGCAGGGGGCTCCCACGCTGGGGGATGAGTTTCCCAGGCTGACCCACATCGGCTCAGCTCCCAGAGCTTCCTGCCCTCTGTCCAGCCCACGCAGAGGGATCAAAGCCCCGTTCTTCCCGGGCCTCTGGCTGCACTGACTCCCTGCTCTGCCCTCTCTCCTGATCCTCACCGCTCTCCTCTCCCCGCTGGGCCCTATCCCTCAGCACCCAAACACGCACTGAAATCACCTCTTTGTATTGATCCTCCCCTGACCCCACACCTCCCTCGCCTGTCCCTTCCTTCCCCTCCAGCGTGAACTCTCGGTAACTTCCTCAGGGTTTGTTGTGTCTCCTCCCGTGGCCAGCAGGGGCGTCTGCCCAGCCTGTTCCCCGCCAGCCCTCCCCTTCTCTGGAAGCTGCACCTCCCACAGCTTTGCTCCTGCCAGCACCCAGGGGCCACCTCTGGTGCCACCTCTCTTTATCCCTGATGAGCAATCCCCCAGCACGTTCTGTTCACTCTGCACAAACTGGGGTGCTTTTCCTTTCAGCCACCACATTTGCACAATCCTGTCATCTCCCATTTGGGAGGATGCAATAGCCTCTAGTCCCTGTCCCGCTTGCTTCGTCCAAAATACTTGCCACACTGCAGCCCAAGAGACTTTTTAAGTGCATATTGAACCATGTCACCTTCAGTCTTAAATCCCTGTGATGGCTTCTCACTGTACTTAAGGGGACCCCCAGTCCCCAGATGGCCTACTAGGCCCCGTGCGAGCTGGCCCCGTTAGCCTTTTGGCTCTGCCTGCTCCTCCCACCGCAGCCACACAGCTCCTCTGGCTGCTGGCTGAGCCAGCATCTCCCTGGGCCTGGTGTCCTCCCCCACTCCTCTCCAGCTTATCACCCTCCAGGACCTGGCTTGCAAGCTGCTTCCTTAGAGAAGCGTCCTGACGCTCCTGTGGATGGGTCCCCGTGAAGCCTCCTGTGGGCACTCGGCTTCACGTTCTCAGGCAGCTCTCTGTCCAATGTCTGCTTCTCCACTGGGCTGGAGGCCCCAGGAAAGCAGGTGCCACATCTGTGTTCCTTTTACAGCGAGCACCCGGCAAATAGGAGGCGCTACAGATAGTGTCGGAATGGATACTGTTGACTCCACTGAGCCCCATAGTATGTCAGCCTCCTGGCCGGTGTTGGGATCTCACAGATGAATAAGGCAGGGTCCTGCCATGAAGAGCTCACAGTTTTGGGGGAAGCAGACACTTAGACGAAGACCTGTGATATAATGTGACTGGTAAAGATGATAAAACAACTGATAAAGATGGATGTGACCACCCGTGCTTTGGAGATCAAAGGTGGGGGGCCCTTGGCTCTGTTGGGGGCGTTTCTGGAGACCCTGGTATCTAAGCTCACCGAGGCCAAAATTAACTTGTAGGAGCAATCTGCGTTGGTAGGTAAGAGCCAGGTTTCCATTTCCTTGGAAATTCATTAATGATGAAGTTTCTAATTCCTTGGAATTTTATAAAACTTATAAACACATCAGTGACTACATATAGCTGGAAGAATTCAAGGATTCAGAGTGGAAAGGCTGTGATAAAATACAGATAGTACACAGAGCCCATGAAGCAGGCAGGGGCCACAGCTCCTGGGTTAAGGTGGGCACAGAAATGGGCAGCGACCATGGACTTGGGTAGCCAGTTAGATCAGGGGCTTGTTTGATGACTATGGAGGTGAGGGTGGTGATACCTCGGATTTACTGAGCACTCACCACGGCCTGTGTTCTGTCCCAGGCACACTGCTTATATGAATCCATTTGGCCATCACAGTGACCCAGTAAAATGGGGAAACTGGGGACCAAGGCTAAGTAATTGGCTGGTGGGATCTGGGACTCAAACCAGGCAGTCTGACCCCACAGCATGACCTGGCTAAGTTTCTGAAGCTCAATCAGGAAAGTCAGGAGAGAAAACCGTATGTTGGGAAGGAGCTGAGCATTCAGAAGCTGCTAAGTTCTCCTTCATCGAGGGCTGCCTGCTCTGTCTCCTGCCTCCTGAACACCTGCTCCTTTCTGCCAATGGAAGTAGAGGCCTGCCTTCAAGGAACACCTCAAATCCTCTATCCTCCATGCCTCAGCTCGGAACGACCTCACCCTTGTCTGTGGCATTTGTTTTCTGCCCTTCTTGCACAGGAGGTAGTGAGCTGGGCCATCAGCCTGAGACTGAACTGGGCCTGGGTCTCCCTGGGAAGAGAGGGAAGCTCTCTGAGCTCCACATTCCTCAGCTGCAATAGGCAATAACATCTATCTTGCAGGGTTGGGGCGTATGACGCATGAGTGAGACAAAGTATGTCAACATACCAGGGACTCAGTAAATGGAAATGCTATGACCGGTGTTACCTCTTAATTCCATTACTTTTTTGTTAGCGTTACTTCCTTCCCCCACTGACATGAGCTCCTGGAGAACAGAAACCATTACTGTGAATGTTTGCGGAAGAAGTGAATTCCCCATCCCGGGATCCAGAGCAAGCTGTGCTCAGGGACTGCCCTTGGGTCACCAGCTACAGGCCTCGACAAGACAGGAACGGTTCATGCCATAGCCTGACACACTGTGGCCTCCACCTAACAACTGGTTAGTCTCATTCTGACCTAACTTACGCAAACTTATGTGGTTCTCTCACACATCTGGGAGTGAGCCCCCAGGGGAAGAGCCACTTTCCTAAAGCATGAACATTCATGGCACCCCACAGTGCATAGAGATGGGAAAACCAGTGTTTCTCACCCCCTTCACCACACCACCCAGTTCTGCAGGGGGCAGGCAGGGAGGGAGGTGTCACCGGGGGACAATGGCCTGGGTACCCAGCTAAGCATTCCCTGCGGGCTTCAGGCTCCTTTTGTTGACCTGGGTCTGACCCTCTACATCCTGACCCCCAGCTTCCTCTTACTCCCGGGTACTGGACTGTCCCCTGAATCGCTCTTCCTCACAGTGCTGTCCCACCTCCAACCAACCTCTTGGAGCAGCAACGGGCTCTGGACCCACATCTCACTCTGCAGGGACACTCGGACTTTTCAGAGCTCAGTGGAATCAAATAGGACATAGCATAGGGCTTGCATGTTGCAAAGGTAAGCACTGTTTCCAGAAAATTCTGTTTCTGCTTTACATGTGTGACATGATCCATCACATGTATTTCTGATTGGGCATTTCAGACAAAAGTGTTATAAAGCCACTGCTCTAGAGCTGCCCTGTCCTATATGCAGCCACTGGCCATGCTGAGTGCTTGGAGTGTGGCCAGTCCAGACTGAGAAGTGCTGTGAAGGACAAAACATGTCCTGGAATGCAAAGATTTAGTACACAAAATGTGAATTCTCTCATTAGTAGTATTTATATTGACTACATGTTGAAATCATAGTAAGATACTGGGTTAAGGAAAATATTTAAAATTAACTCGATCTGTTTCTTTTAATTTGTTTCTTTTTTTTATGTGACTACTAGAAAATTTAAAATTACATATATAGTTCACATTGTATTTCCACTGGACAGGGCATATCTGGCTGTTAAAATTTCTTTACCAAGTGCTTGCTCAGCTGGCCCTACTTATGCAACTGGAAGGCATCCATTCATTCATTCATTCATTGTTCATAAAATGGATATGCCCAGAGCTCTGTGAGCGGGCACATGCTCAGCAGTCAGGATACAGAGATGAACGATGCAGGCCCTCCCCTCACACAGCACTCAGGCTTGGGAAGAGGAGGGGATGTAAACTGATGGCTGGAGTCCAGATGTGTGCAGGGGACCCCAACACAGAGTGCAGCACCTGCCTCTGCCCGAACATCCACCCTGGTGGTAAGAGCAGGTATCAGAGAATCACAGGAGGCTACAGCCAGACAGAATGTCCGATGTGAGTCCAGTGACGAGTCTGAGGCCCAAAAGGTCGTTCAGGGTCACCAAGCAAGTAGGTAGCCTGGCCGGGACTGGGCCTCTGATTGCCCTTATGCTACCCTCCCTGCGGTGGGGCTTCACTTGGTCCACCAGCCAGAGCCAGGACTGAGGATGACGCTGTCTGCTCTGTGGCTTGACAGTGAATGTGGACTTTTTCCTTTCTGCATACTCGAGCTGAGCTGCCTTGCATGGCAGAAGGTAATAAATCATCCAATGGGCCTTTCAGGGACAACATCAAAAAAGCCAAATGTGTCTTTCTCTCAGAGTTCTGC